AAAGAAAGCCAAAGACCCATTTCCAGAAACACGATGTCGTACATGGGAATCTGTTGTTTGTCATATTTCGAGCAGATCTTGTTCTCCTTTCCAGGAATATAAAACGACCACTCTCTCCGATTTCCATCCTCATGTGCGTATACCTAAGTAAAAACATCATCCTGATGCTCGAAAAAGTAGGAAGGCCAGTCCCAAGGATCATCTGTGACCCAAGCCCGCGGATCCTCATCATCTCCGTGGGGAAACAAGCCACCTTGATCAGCACATTCCATGTCCACGTTACCTCCCCCCCCCCCCCCCTCACTTGTTGTTCGAGCTGATCCGGCTTATCCCCGAAAATCTCCAAAATGCTCGACGAAATACTCGCCTCGTCCAAAGAACTTTGTGAGGATCCAGAAGACTCTCCCGAGAGGTCGTCTCCGGTGTTGTCGGCCATAGTACCTGAAAAGCAGAGGATGAAGATGAGTTCGACATCAATGTCAAAACCACCCTTCCACCACTAATCAAGTGAAAGGACACTGATAAACGAGGATTGTGTCCTCGACCAGAACCCTCAGTAAGGCACATAAACAAACAAAAGTATGGGGAAGAGGCCTAGATCCTAAAGGACCATCTACGGAACAACGTGAAAAGTCCAGCGAAATAACCTGGATCCCAAAAGGACCATCTACGACATATCGTGAAATGTCCGGGGAGGATCTACGATAACTCCAGAAATTCTAAACTACAAAACCACCGTCTGCCACCAACACTCCCCAAGAACGCGCTAACAGACAGGATCCTAAACCCTAATTGCATGCATTTCTTAGAAGAAAATCATGAAAATCTGCACTACAAAAGTCAAATGACAGTGAAAAATTAAAATCTTACCAGTTAAAGAAGAAGGAAGGATGAAAATAGCAGCGGTGAGGGGTGAATCTCAAGAATTGCCAATGGTCGACAGGCGAACAACAATGAGCGGTATGAGAGAGGAATGAAAAATACAGAACGCCCGGGTCCTCTTATATTTATATCTAGACCATCCGCGCGTGGGATACACACACCTGGGAAACCCTAGGGCCGCCATCATTGCACCCTAGCCCCTAGGCCATCATTGTGCTGCTTCGTCAGCGTGCTACCCGAAACATGCTACTTCTTCAAGTTCGAGGCTCCGAACGACCAACTCCTTATCTCCCCGTGAGAAAGGCGCAATAGGCGACGCTCGGGCTTCCCGTAAGACCCTCCCCGTCCCACGAGCAGGTGTTTAAAGTCATCACTCGTATGCCCAAAAGCAACAACTTGGGGGCTACTATTCTAGACTTGCCTGAAAGCCAGAGTAGGCCCAATCTAACCCCTTCTTTCAGTACGGCCCATACGCTCATGGCCTGAATCTCCCCCGCTCCCCGTCGAGCAATATCGACCCTTTGTCCTCCTGGACCGGCACTGACCCACGATGATTGACGAGCACCTCTCAGTCTGCCCGATCTCAAGTCGCGCAAATAACCAGGAACCGACCAGATTGCTGACTGTAACCTACCTTCTCCTTGGATATAACGGCTAGTTACGGGCACACCTGCCCGGTATGACCAAGTCCTGGAAGTTACCTATTTTTGCAGACCCACATATCTAGGCCCAAAAATAGGAATCAATGGTCATGCGCCAGGGGTATTATATAAACCCTCACACATGTGAGGGACATATATCAAATATTCACTATTCATCATTAATACTCTAATATTTTACTTGTATCTCTTTGCTCCCACACTTACTTGATCGTCAGAATGCCTTGCAAGTACAACCCTCTTTTTCCTTCCTCAACATCACAGCCCGACTGAAGATCATCATCCGGCCACCTTGCAGGTTCTGATCAACCAGTAAGATCTGATATATTTGATATGGTATGTTATTTTGTGTTATGATATATTATTTTGTTTTAATAATTTCTTTAACCATCATTTCTCTATTGACTGAATATGTATACTTAAATTATTATCCATTTTTTCATTCCAATACATTACATTGAAAATCGTTAATATCCTATTTGCACAAAAAATTCATTCCAATACATTTAAAATCGTTGATATCCCATTTGCGCAAAAAGATAAGACTTTATACTGCTTATTTATAAATCAAATCTTTAAATAAAAGCACATAATTTATATTTAAAAAATTTACAATTCTCTCAATCAAATTCATTCTTTTAATTTTGAAATAAATCTATATAGACCAATAAGTATGAGCATGTTTATAATTATAATAGTATTATTTATATAATACTTGATATTTATAATTATAATTTAATTTATTTATAACGTTGAATTGAATATATATTGTCATTGTTAAATCAATATCGTAACTTTTAAAAATATAATATCCCTAATTAAATAAATATCAAGTATGTATAGCAAATTTCAATATATTCACTATTCTAGAACACAACTTTATAAATTAGAAGTTATAAATATATTTAATGAATTAGAATAATGTTTAATGAATTATAATAATAATTAATTAGTTAGAATTCAGAAGTCATAATATTGATGAATAGTTATTTGAAATAAGTTATAAAAATATTAAAAGAAAAATAAATAGAATAAGGGTAACATTTCATTTTATCACCTTAATATATTAACTCTAATTATATGAAACAAAGTGATATTTTATATTAACTCTAATTATAGATATTACTAAAACCTAATCAATAACATTTAAATTTAAATTTATAAAAAATTATATTTCTGTAAGATTAATTGTTAACATTTATAATACAAAAAATTCTATAAATATTTATTTTTTATAAAAAAATATAAACTTATATTGGTAAAAAAATTCTTAAATTTCTAATAATAAATTCATATTAGTAAAAAAATAGTGAAACGTGACTAAAGTATATATTTATTGAATTATATTAGTCAAATTAATATGTTATTATAATATAAATGTGTTTTAGGTAATATTGTCATGATCCATATTTTTTTTAATCTTTTGAAAAATTATATTTTATATAATAAATATTTGTTCATATTTTTAGGTAATATTGTCATGGTCCATATTTTTGTTATTGTTTTGAAATAATATATTTTATATATTATTTTGTAATGTATCCTACAATAATTAGTGAGATAAATCTATATTATTTTAATACTAAAAAATATATTTTTTCTTTGATAATTAATTTATTCTATAATATTATCAATTATACCAAAAAATTATTACAAATATTTGTTTTGATGAAAAACACTGGACAATAATATTGGATGAATACACAAATTCGATAGGATACTTTTGTTAATGAGAAAATATGTAGGTATTAGTTTTTTTTTTACTATTCCTTTTTATTTGTTTTGAAGTGTATATTGTGTCAAGCAATCTCATTAAAAATCACTTTTTAATGCAATATTAAGATTTGTCTTTTCATTAACTATCTTCTTTTTATTTACCAACGTGATCTGCATAATTATATTGGACTATAGCCTTTTCATTTACCAATGTGAACGGCATAACTATATCGGATTACGAATAATTAAATTGCACGTTCGAAGACTATTAATACAAATGTGTAGGTTGAAAACACATGTTTAGATTGAAATATAGTTGTTTATGTTTAAAACATGTCAATAATTCATGAAGTTAAAGACTAAAATATGAAAGTTGCTAGGAGTGGCGCATACATACAAAAATGTAACACTATAAATAATTGATCTTTTACTTATCCTTTTAAAAAAAAATCAAAAGTTAAATTTGTTATCTAAGAGAATCGCAAAATCATGTGTTTAAATTTTGAAACTTAATTGTGTTTAAATTTATTTTATATTACATGATAAAATCATATAATATCAATAGCATCCATAGATATACAATACAGAAGAATTTAAAAATTATAGACATACCCGATGGCCGAAAAGATATTTACTTAAATTGAACAAATATTAAAGATCATATATTTAATTATTTCTGAATTACTATAGCATATAACTTCTAAATTATTACACAAATTTAAGAAACATAATATTATTCAATTCACTAAATCTAATCAAATTATTATCAATTTTAATTTATTATTAAACAATATATTTTTTTGTGTATAGTAGATTTTATTTTATAATGCTTGTTAATAAAAATTATAATATTAAAATTATAAGTAATTATAAAAATTATAAAAATGTCTGACGAGTCAAAATTATTTTTCCACTATATATTTAATTTAATAATAATTACTAAATTTATATATATTCTTACAATTTTTACAATTTAATAAATTAAATTAATATTTATATATTAATTATTATTATTGAAATCTTTTTTCTATTAATTCGTATATATATTTTTATATAAATTTCTTAATTATAACTATATAATATAATATTAAATATTTATATAGATTTTTCGCAACACGTAGGAACACACGTCCTTAGTAGTATAAAATAAAATAAAAAAACAAAACAACTTCCTTACTAGTTTCTACAATTATGACAAGTGATTTTTTCCTTACTATGACGAGTCATCATTCAAAGAGACATATCTATACACATGTATCAAAACTTAAAATAATCAATCCATCCAATAATTACCATATTTCTCAACATAACATAAATTTAAAAAACCACCCTCTTTTTTTTTAATCAAAAAAGCCACCCATTTATGGAGGAGGCTAAACCTTTGTATGTAGACTCACTCATTCACGTATTAAACTAAATCTCACCCTGTATCCAATTGCCACGTGTACACAGTTAACATCTTCAGCCAATCGCGAAGAACCCGTGACGTTATACTCGGGTATCCATTATCAAGTTTCAACGGAATTAGGTATATTGGGTAAGTAAATAAATAAATTAAAATATAAAATAAAAAATGGAAATAAATAACCGCTAAAAACATTCATCATCCTTCACACGATCCACAAAGCTCTAAATAAAAACTCGGAGAGAGAGCCCCTGCCGGTACCGTCACCGTCACCGTCTCTCGATTCTCCGGCGATATCTTCGTTTTCCACCGCCGTTCCAATTTCTTACCAATTAAACATGGTTCGTCTTCTTCCTCACGCACTATTCACCTTCGTTGAATTTTGTTCTCCGTTTAGATCTATTAGTTGTTTTAGGTTTTTTCTTTTGCTGCAATTAAATTTTTGTAAAATGAATTTGGATTGCTGTTTTGGAATTGAATTATCTCAAATCTCTTAGGTTTTCGATGCATGCATAATCGAAATTGGGTTATGAATTTATTGTTTCTGTGGTGGATTGTGAAGTTTTTTGGTTTCTTACTGATCATTGTTTGTGGATCTGATCGAATTGGATCTGATCTGGTGTATGCGATTTTAGTTAAGATTTGGTTTTGATGTCTTAATTGAGAATAAGATGTGGAAATTTGGTGTTTTGTGCAGACTACATCAAGGCGCCTGTCGGTTAGGAAGGTGGAGAAGTTTGAGAAAAACATTACAAAAAGAGGATTTGTGCCAGAAACAACTGTTAAGAAAGGAAAAGACTACCCTGTTGGCCCCTTGGTGCTCGGTTTCTTCGTCTTTGTTGTCATTGGATCATGTAAGATTATCCTTTCAATGCGTTTTACTGATTTTTGTTTTCTTTATTTCATAGTCATATGAGTAAGTTTTGTGCAGAATTGTAAATTTTTCTTGTTTGCAGCATTGTCGATTATTTGGTACACTATGTATTGTGGATTCATGTTTTAAAAACTGATCTTAACTGTTTGGTTATTTGAGGGGTTCTATTGCAGTTTTGTCATGATTCTGTGTTTTTGAAATGTTGTTGTAAACATTTTTTTTTCCGTTTGAAATTCATCTTAGATGAATATGAGGGACGTCGCTGGTTTGCGAGTTCGAACCCACACCCCCCACGCCCCCGCATGTCCCTACACAAATGAACTGGCTTAATGGGAAGTTGTGAACATTATTTTATTGAGAACTGGGCAGCCTTAATGTTTGACTAATCAAGGATAAATGGTTAACTCATAATGGTTAACTCATAATGGTTAAAGTCTCTTTGGCCAAAGCACCTGAGTACATAATTTAACACTGAACCCCTGAATTGAATTACATTTTCCAGTTTCCTTTAACAAAATGAGTGAAAGTCGTTTGGAATAAAAAATTTGTTGTTGAATCAAATATGCATCTACAACCAATATTTTTATTTTGTTTATATGAAAGATTAGAATGAAGATGGGAAAGGGTATTTGCTCAAGTCGAATTCAATTTGGGATTTAGCAATTCCCAAAGGAATTAGTGCTGCTTGAGCAAAAGTTTTAAGTACCTTCTTTAAGATAAGGATTATATATATTTTACCTTTCTTCTATTAGCATTTTCATGGGTTATGTTGTATAGTATCATTGACATGTTTGCATGTTTTTTATTGCACAGCTCTCTTTCAGATAATCAGGACAGCAACCAGTGGAGGCATGGCATAATGGAGCTTTGAGTTCGACTGTATCATGTTTTCTTTCTTAGTCCTGTAGAAAATATGAATATACTTTTCTACATGTACTTGAACAATACCCCGGTTCCTGTTCATGTTTTGATGAAGTTTTAGGATATTTTAATATACAACCGTTGTACCTCTTCTCTTTAACTTTACGTATTGCTGCAGATTGATTTTAGTAGTTAGTTGTGAAAGCTATGAATTATGACTATGAACTCATAATTCCTCCACCCTAAATTCAATAGCAAGGGTGTGGGACGTTTTTACTTCTGAATTTCAAGCAATTCTCATTTTTTGAGTGTTGCCTCTTGGTATAATGTTAAGTTGTTAACTAGTCTTACATAATTTTAGTTAACGTAAATTTACGGTCCAGTTAAGGGTTGATAAAACTAGCTTTCAATAAGTGCAAAACATCTCTAAAAAGAGAAGAGGTGGCATTGCAGGCATGGTTTTGTTTGTCGTTCTATATCCGAGTTAATACTTCATAGGGGAGAGGAAGTTAATAGTTAATAGTGCAAAGGAAAGGATTAAGGTTACATTGTCACGGGTATTAATTAATAATAGAAGCGTGGAGTAAAAAACTAGCATTGCATCAAACTTCCATTCTTGCGTTTCAAGATCTTGCGTTTCAAGATGCTTTTGATGTGAAAATTTAAAAAACTATGAATGGAAGCTTCCACGTTCCAAGATGCTTATGATATAAAAGTTTAAAAGCTATGAATCCAAGCTGTTAATGCTGTTTTTGATGCAATTTTTTTCCTAAACGTGATGCCGTATAAGGCAGGTATTAAATATACCCATTTTTGTCCAGAGCTTTTAGGATTATTATCATACAAATTAATAGTTTTAGGTCTAAAATATGAGTGTAACTTTACCATTAGATGTTTTGCATGATGATAAAATTAAAAAAATTTAACATTTTTGTATATTAGACCATATCTGTATTTCGTTGGTGCACTCTTGCATTAGAGGTTTTAGAAAACATTCAAAACAAGTTTAAAAATTGATCTAAATCATAAAATAAAAATTCTACACAAAAAACACTTGCATGTGTCGGCACATTTGTTTTTTAGGTCGGCACATAAACATTTCGTCATAGCACATGTTGTAGCCCAGTCTTTTCAGGTCGGTACATACGATTTTCAGGTCGACATATCTACTGTAGTATTTAAGCCAGAAGCTATTGTCATGCATAGGCTGGCACATCTTCCTTTTCAGGTCGGCACATACAGTTAGTTTTTGACTTATGTGTCAATACATACATACAGC